TGAGGAAAGTACACATAAAGCTTATTCTGAAGACAAAAATAAACTTACTTCCCATCATTGTAAGCACTGCCCACAGTGTGAAACATTCAAAAAATAGCTAAACCTTGACCATCACCATAATCAACACATGGGCTAGAGCCTAGTACTACATGCCAGGCATGGAATTGTATTATAATTGCAGGTATTTACAAGTTAAGGAAGGTGAACTGCATGACTCTGACATGTCTCCAGGACTATACAAGCTAAAAGCAAATAATCTGGCAGTAGGCTCCATCCACAACTCTCAACCACAGTGCTGCCTGCACTCTCTGGAAGCACTACTGCTTCAGGACAGACACGTGCAGTACAGATACCTTGTAGGAGATAACCAAAAATAGTTTCGATACAAGCAATATCAAGAGAAAACTCCCAACATGAGGCAGAACTCTACCAACCAAATAGTTCAAAAGGAGAGGTGAAGGCACATTTTTTAAATGAAAAATATTAAAAAGCTGAGAAGGAACAAATAGAGAAGTGACTAGAAGTGGCACTATGGAGTGTGTAAATCAGCACTGGTTCATGGTGACCTAGACCACCTGCATCCATCTTGGGGTGGCCCCCTAAGGCAACCCAGCATAGCGCTGCCTAGAAGACAACCACTGGCCCAACCTCTAGTAAGAGGCCTTAAGTATCAAGCAAATTAGAATGACAAAAGATTAGAACACCAAGAACTTCAAACACTGCAAAATGGAATTTCAGTACCCCTTTAATTTGGTGTAAAAACAGAGAAATCCTCGCATAGAGTTATCAGATGCATGTTCCATTAACTTAGTGAAGACACTCCCACCAAAGTACTTTCAAAAGGTACTGAAACCAGCCACCTAAGGAAATAGGTGGATTTAAGCAACAAACACTGACAATAGGCTTGTCCAAGTATTTCCCAGGTAAGCATCAACCCTGGCTACCTTAAAAAAACCTGGGAACCTTCTCACCCCCTTCTCTAAGTGACAGATATCAAAAAACATACTAAGCCAAGAATATAACAAATATTGAAAAAAATCCTACTGCCTGGATTTTAGTAAACCAAAAATCAGCAGTAAGGATCTTTTTTTTTTTTTTTTTTTTTTTTTTTTTTGGAGAGGTTTTCACTACAGGGCGCGTGCGCTGGCCAGACAGACAGAGACAGATATAAAGACAGAAAGTGAGAAATCACCCCCCAGGGGAGATGGTCACGCCGCAATCCCTTCTCCATTCTCCTCTCAGGATCTTGGGCATGCACACACGTGCGCCCTGAGTGAGTTTTAAGCCACTGGGTCCGGGACACGAACCCAACTGCAGCTGACTACGTGGGAGTCCAGCGACATAGCCATTATGCTAACTGCTGGTCCCAGTAGGGATCATTCTTCAAAGCCCTTTTCAAAAAAAGGAAGCCAAGATCTTACCCTACTATCTGGACTAGAAGGAGCCATGCACTTGATTTTACTGAATTCTTTTCTCAATGTGGAGACAACCCAGACTCATTCTCTCCCAAATCCTTCAAGTCACATTTCAAACCAAAGAACTCTGAATGTTCAACTTCTCAAAAGCCCACTGACAATTAAAAGAGGTCCTCTGCTAAATTTTTACCTTAATTTTGCTGAATTTTAACCTTAATTTTCACCTTCCTATGTGCTCATTTTAGAAGTTATGAAGAAGCTGTCAGGAGCGCCAAACTCTTCCGAGACTAAAATAAGCCATTTTTAGCTCGCCAGATTAAGTGTAATTATACAAAATACAAAATTACTGGCCATTTAAAAGAATTCCCCCAAATCGCCCTTCCTATAAATTACACTTTAATCAGAAACATGAACAATTTGATTTAAATTTATCACTACTTAATGTGGCATGCACTTGTGACACTACTTGGCAAATTTTATTGGTTCTACTTATGATAGCCAACCATTCTTATAGAACTATGCCTGGTCTCTGAAGACCACGCCCTGGAAAGAAGGAAGAGTATAAAGACCTGCACATTATCCACACTTTAAGTCAGACAGAAAAAGAAGGGGCTGGTGGGTGGCCTGGTGGTTAAGGTGTTGGAATGATTTTTTTTTTAATTAAATAAATTTCTTAAAAAAATAGAAAATGTTGCTACACTATTTAATCTCACAGAACACAATTTGCCACTCTGAGTAAAAAAGGGACATTTCATTTCATAGAAATAAGAAACAAAACTAATTCAGACTAACAATCCACCATATACAATAATCCAAGGGCCACGTGTTTACTCAAAATTGATGCCCTCTCATGAAGTTTTCACAACAAAACTAATAGGCTTTAATTTAACAGGATACATTCCAGTAGCACACAACAGCACCAAAATCAAGATAACATTCTTATTTGTATGGGGCCTAACAGACCCTAAATCGCTATGCTGCCTTCCCCCATCAATTAAAAGGTAACTGCAACAAAAGCAAAAGGATAAACTGTAGTATCATCACACCACAGAATACTAGTCAGCAATAAAAAGGTACTTGGCTGTTAATACATGCAATGTGAACTCAATGGATCGATCTCGAAAACAGTATGCAGGTAGAAGAAGCTAGACGCCAAACGCGGCACACTACATGGTTCTATCAACGACATTAGAGAGGGCAACTGTACACACAGGGACCAGGTTAGTGGTTGTCAGGGGCTCCTGGGATAGAGGGATGTATTCTGTTAATAGCACATGTTCGTCACAAATCAAACTATACTTCCTAAAAGGGTGTTTTTTATTTATGTGAATTACTGATATATTGCACGAAATCAAAGATTTTTAAATTACAAATTATTTCAAAACTTCCTTTCTAGATGAACCAAGAGCCATTCCACAGAGAATGCTCAAGACACTCAAGCACTGATGGATACTAAAGCAATATACTCAGTAGTCAAAATTTAGAAAACCCGCCCATATACAATCAAAGTTGACCACTGGGGCACCATTTCACCATGTTTCCCCTTTTCTCATAAGGCTGGACTATTAGTTCCTCATTCCCTGAAAATAACATTCATATTCACCAGTTTCAGTTATGTTCTCAAATTACTATCTCAAAAAACTGCCAAGTCTACTCAAAAAAAAAAATCTCACAATAAGGGGTGGTATTTGTCCTAGAGAATGCTGCCATCACTTGTACATTCTTACACAAAAGAATGTGAATCAGGAATTGATTCTCCATAGCCTGCTTCAACCTATTTTGATACTTCTAAAACACAAAATTCCATTACCAGCTGAAAATTTTCATTTAGTAAGATTAACAAACTCAAATCCTTTTCACAGAAACGATGTCAAAATTCAAACCCAAATTTCCAAATCTTCAAAATAAGTTAGGCACAAAATTTAAACCCACTGTTAACAAAAGTACAGCTTCAGGTCATCAAAAAAAGAGGCAAAACAAACACTACTAGAAAGATACCCCTGTGTAAAACAAATCAACCAACAACTCAGGAGTCTGACCCCAGGTATTTCACCGACCACTTCTAAGCAGATACAGAGCAGTTTGGGATGAAAATACTTGAATCTGAGCAGCACATTAACATGTGCACAGATTGTTCCAATTAGCAAGTTTTCCCAGCACTTAAATGTTATCAAACTGCCTTATCCAGGTTGCCTATAACTCAAAAACTCCTCTCCTGGAGATCTGTCCCACCTCTCTGTCTGCAGCCCCAAAACAAACTGCTCTTGATGTCTTCTCACATCTTCCAGCTCAGGTTTTTCAAACCTAAGCTTTAAGGTCTGGATACTTCTCCCAGAGGGATCTGAGTGCTGTCTTGGGCACTGCAAGACATTCTGCAGTCCCCTCAGTGATGGCATCCAAGAATGTCCCAGGACATTGCCATATGTCTCCAGCAGAGGAGGCCCTGAGTGTCAAAATCGCCACCGATTGATCCTGCCGGACTACACCAGGATCCTGCAGCTGCAGGTTCTCCAGGTTAGAGCCGGCCGCAGGACCAGCAAACAGGCTGGGAACGCAGGGCTGACACCCTGACGCAGCCGCCCTTACCCGTAATCGGCAATGCAGCAAGGTTATCTTTACCTTTGTAGAGGTTGGTGACGGCGGTGGCTGCGTTTTGGAACGGGACCCAGAGAGAAAGGCCTGGCTGCTGACACACTCGATCTGAAAAGGAAAATCGAAGGGGGGAAAAAAAGAAAAACAAAAGCACACATACACACAAAAAGACAGACAGAGGAGGGAAACAGACAGACAAGAGAGAGAATTTGTTATTAGGGCGTCAGTCACTCCAGAACGGCCATGTTGGGTTTCGCCATTTTGTTCAAGGGTTTCGGGATCCCAAAATGAGTGAGAGGACGAGGAACCGGGTGGTCGCCGCGGGGCGGACACCGGGCCACGGGGCCAGGGGTGC